TATTTTTATTCAAAAATTCATTTCGACATCTTTCGCCTTTTTATCGCTGAAAAACAAATCGGAATCGGTTGCGGCGTTGTCAAGTTATGGTTGATTTCCTTATTTTTACTATTATTTCGGGGTGATTTGTACGTCATAGTCCTTTCATTTATTTGTATTGTGGAAGGAAATATTGCGTTGCTACGGTATAATCAAATTTGTTCATTGACCATTCATATATTTTTTTACAAAAGGAACATTTACAGGCTCTCCATGTTTGAATTTTTTTCGAAATATTTGTGTAATGACATGTCAAACATCGCTACAATCAAAAATATCTTGGATTGATTCGATATTTTGCTGAATTTCCTCCCAAAAGCCGCGTAGTAGAGACATATTGTTTGTATCATTATGTACCTTCTTCAAGTTAAATGGAGATTTGGATTGTGGGAATAACGACAATAAAAATGGCCCAAATTTCAAAAAAAATTCCTAATTTTCGCAATCCGCATCTTCATTGTTTGTATTGTAGAAGTTATTTCAAAGACAGGCGTTGCTTTTGGCATGTTTGTTTGTTTCACATATTATTTGAATCATAAGTAGCAAGATTACGGAATATTTCAAATTTGGACGATGCACATATCACAAAAATACCTGAATGATCTATGTAGAACCTCGAATGTCATGTGGCAGGCAATATTCCCACACTCAAATCAAATTAAGGAACCATGACTTGAAAACGCCGCAACCGATTTTGATTTTTTCTTCTGCGATGAAAAGGCGAATGATGTCGAAGTAAATCCTTGATGAAAAATACAGGGTGTTCCATTTGAAAATTTCTTATGATCGTCGTCTGAATCTTACAATATTCAGAATGTAAATTTTAGCACCCTGTAGAGGATTATCTCGCAAGATTACTGAATTGGTATACGTGAGACCTTGCTACTACTGTATGCCAAAAATATTTTCGAAATTTCAATAAACAAATATATCATACCCAATTGAACATGACCCTTCAATAGTAGTTAAAATGGGTTTATCAATTATAACTTGGCAACGCCGCAACCAAATTCAATTTTTTTTTACAGCGATGTAGAGCTGAACTTGAGCGGAATAAATTTCGAATGAACAATACTGGGTGTTCCATTTGAAAAAACTCGTTTTCGAGTTGCCCCGCTTTTATGAAACACCCAGTATTGTAGGAAATATTTTCGAAATGAGCAACTTTAGTAACTGAAAAAGTTTTTCCTTCAAAGTTTTTCTCTTGTGATAATTGATTTCGAGATATCGAAGAATTACGCACTAAATGGACACACTGTATATCAGGAAAATTCGTCATTTGCTTCCTTATTCAGGTAAATTAAATGTATGATATCTACAATTATACTGAATGATGCTTTAACAATTTTTGAAATAATATATACAGTGTGTCCCGCTTTCCATGAATACACGCTAATATCTCAGTTATTAATGGTGCGATTCTCTTGAAATTTTTGTAGTGATTGTATGTTAGAATAATGAACAGTTTCATTCACAGTTGGCGTGCGATGTTGACGGATTCACAAAAGGCCTTTATCTGGCAAAAGGATATTAGGACTCATTCTAAATAACTTTGATTATAAGATTCATAATCAGCATCCCCAAAAACCCTCTCCTTTCATATTTTCAAGATCCCAAGAGCTAAAATAAAATATTTCAAAATCCTGCTTTTCATGACAACACCCTTAAATCTCAGTTATCAACGATGCGATTTTCTTGACATTTTGATGGTAATTGTATGTAAAAAAAAATAGTGATGAAAAGCGGGATTTTGAATTTTCCTTGAGATTTTGAATTTTCCTTGAGATTTTGAAAATATGAATTGGGGGGTTTTTGAGGATGCTGATTCTGAATTTGATGAAAACAGTTATCTAAAATAAGCCCTAATATCCTTTTTACGAATAATGGCATTTTTTTAACCCCTCAATGCGCCAATGGTGAATGAAACTGTTCACTCTGCTAAAATACTTCATTGTTCTAACATACCATCACTACTAAAATTTCAAGAGGATAGCATCATTAATAACTGAGATATCAGGGTGTATTCATGAAAAGCGGGACACACTGTATAGTGTATATATATATATACAGTCTGTCCAAGATAAGGTTGAACAGCATGGGGATCTCGGAAACGGTAGGAGATACGAAGTCGCTTAAATGGGGAAAAAGTTGCGCATTCGGAGGCTCATATCAAGAGCCTTCGAAAATTTTGAAAATTATGTTTTTTCTGTGACGGGAAAAAAGTTTGTCATTTTTTCCCTGTTGGCAGGTTATAAAATGTCACTTTTTATAAATTACTTTTTTCCCATGGGAAAAAAGTGAGTACTTTTTTCCCGGATATATATCACATATATATATACACACTGTTGATGGCTTTTGTTGTGCTATAGTTCCGAAAAATTAGTCAATAATATCGTCTCCGAGAAAGAACTGCATGTCCTTTTATCTTCCATTCGACTTCGCGGTTACGTATATTACTAAACAACCACTAAATTCGCAAATTTTTGAAGTCAAATCACAGAATTAGACTGACAGAAGTGACATCAGATATTTGATTACTTCAAATGAATGATAAAGATGCCTACATCGCGGTGTCCCTACTGTTAAAAACTTAAAATTTCACGTCGATAATTTTCAGATTTCAAAATAATGTAATATCTTCTCAATATTGATTCGTCCTTTCTTCTGTTACAGAAAAAAATAGTGTATTATACACGGGAAAAATATTAGATTTTAGCTCACGGTTTGTTGTCTCCCTCCGCTACGCGTCGGGAGACAACACAACCTGGAGCTAAAATCTACTACTTTTTTCCCTTGTATAATAAATAACTATTAGTTTTTGAGTTATATCGAAAAAAGTGAATTTTTGGAATTTCTATTTTATTTTTTTTTCTCCGTTATTATTAGAGATACAGAAAAACTGAAAATACTTTTTCATAGCAACTTTTGATGACGTTCAACGTGGTGATACCGATTTTTTTAGGCGACGTTTCGTATTTGTGGAACCATCATCAACTTTTGTTTTTTAAATACGGCCCTGATAATTTTTTCACAGATTCTGAAAGGTTTTTTTATTCTGAATTCAACCATGTACTATACAAGGTGATTCGAATGTTTTTCGACCTATTTCTATCCATCATCAATGTTTTTTCGAACTTCCAAAGGAAAAAAGCCATCAGTTCCACTTATTTCTGATCATTGTCAAACTTGATGGATTAGTTATTCAATACTGAAAAGTGAATAAAAAATATTTCACTACATCATTCGAACAATGCAGCGTTTAAAATTGTTGATGAATTCTTACACGAATTTCTTTAACGACTTTACTTTGACAATACCTACAGAGACATTTATAACAAATGTTCAAAATGATAACCATTATTTTCTGAACAAAGATATGCTCTTCTCACAGTTGCTTCTAAGACATTGCTAAGCATTTCTGGGGTTATTCTATTGAATGCTTCGAAGACACTGTCCCTTAGTTCTTCTCCATCATCAAAGTTATTTGCGTGTACAAAGTTCGATATATCCCCTAAGAAAAAATCCAGCTGTGTCAAATCAGGCGACCGCGCCGGCCAAGGGATAGAAACGCACGGACTTCTCTGGAATTATGTACCGGAGCGCCATCGTGTTGAAACCAACAGTTCTGAACTTCCGCAATCGTTAAATCATCCAGAGATCCTCAAGATGATTCTCAAGCGAATTTCTATAACGTTCGGAAGTCTGTGTTTCATGGTAAATAGAAGGAACAATAATTCGTGTACCAAATATTGCAACCCACATATTAAAGCCGAAACGGTGTTGGTGTCTCGCTGTAATGTATAAATGTTCATTTTCTCGTGAACAATAATGTGTATTTTTTTTATCGAAGCTACCATGATTAGTGACCATGCTTTCATCAGTCCAGATGATTGTTCGAGAGAAATCTGCGAAATTTAAACATTTCCTGGTATACCACTCACAGAATGTCCTGCACCTTTCGTCATCGCCTGGTTTTAGCGCTTGACATATTCTGAATTTTTATGGACGGAATTTTTGTTTCTGCAAAATGAAATGGGTTGTTGATTGAAACCAGTTGATGAGGTATTAGTGTGTTGACTAATTTTCCTTCAAAATGAGTGGAACTGATGGCATTTTTCTTTGGAATTTCGAAAAAACATTGATGATGGCTGAAAATAGGTCGAAACACACATAAACCACTCTGTATAATACATGGTTGAATTCAGAATAAAAAAACCTTTCAGAATCTGTGAAAAAATTATCAGGACCGTATTTAAAAAACAAAAGTTGATGATGGTTCCACGAATACGAAACGTCGCATAAAAAAATCGATATCACCACGTTGAACGTCATTAAAAGTTGCTATGAAAAAGTATTCTCAGTTTTCCTGTATCTCTAATAATAACGGCAAAAAAAAATAAAATAGATATTCCAAAAATTCACTTTTTTCGATATAACTCAAAAACTAAAACTAATTTTTAAAATTTTCGAAGGCTCTTGATATGAGCCTCCGAATGCGCAACTTTTTCCCCATTTAAGCGACTTCGTATCTCTTACCGTTTTCGAGATCCCCATGCTGTTCAACCTTATCTTGGACCTCGTCTTGGACAGGCTGTATATATTCAATTTTAATTACCCACCATTTACTGGTGCAAAAGTGATGTATATCGTCATATGGTTATAGGAAGGTTCTTAGTCTCGTTCTAAGTAGAATACATTTTTTTTGAAAACTCAGGGGGGAAGGCAATTGCTCCCTTCCCCAATGACGCCCACGCATTTGATTCAATTTGATTCAATAATATGGGGTGAGAAATCTGTACACGAAGTTTATCGGCCTTATTCAGACTCACCCGTATTTGAGCTAATTCATTATAAAAATATTTCACTTGCAGACACTTCTGTTAGCGAATCATGTCGCGTTATCAAGAATGCCATGGAAATTTCATTGTTGGTGAAGTGTTTCACATTCGTTCTTTTTACAGACGACTCGACGAAACCCTACACGAAACAAACGCCGCGATGGAAGCGCGAGCGGCGCCCCCGCCCCCCGGACTACCCCCGCAAGTCCTCCCCGGCCGCCCCATCGCCGTCGTCGCCGCCCCCCGCCGAGGCGCCTCTCGATATGAGCGTGAGGCAGCGCGGGCTGCCGCCCTCGTACGCGCAGACCATCAGCAGCCCCTGCTACCGCGCTGGCTACAGGCCGCCCCTGGTCAAGACAACAAGAGACGAGCTGCCCTCAGGTTGGTAAATCCAGGAGAGAAGATTATAGTCGAAATGATCTTATCCATTTTGCAAGGAATTCCAGAAACAGGAATTCATACAATTATTGTGTTATACCAAGTTTAACCAGTTGAGCGCCGTGAGGTATTAGTCCAGTCACCAGGTACATTTTACCTGGACAAAGGTCCGAAGTTGATGATCTTTCGATATGTTATGTTATATGTTGTAAGTGGGTATTTCGTGGTGTAAAAACCAAGTTTTCCAATTCGAGAACCTTGTGCAAACTTCAGGGCAATCGAAAGACCAAAAATGTTTGCCTCTTTTTTCAGTATTTTGCTTATTACTACTAAAATAAGCACTTCAGTCAAAAACACTCTATTACAAAAGTTGTAGAGCGTAAAATTTTCAACAATTTACATCCATAAACCGTTGCTCAAAATTTGATAGGTACCGAGATATGGCGCTTTGAAGTATCGACATTTCTTCCAAATATCGAAAAACTGCGAATAATGCACGTTTTTCTCAAGTAACTTTTATCTTTCACGTTTCAATATCCGTATATGAATACCTTTCAATAACCTGAACAATGGAAACCTCTTTCTCAATGAGATTTTAATTTATTAACTGAGTAAAATGATTACAAATAAAAAGCCTTCACTTTGTTGTTCCCAATGGCAGGTCGGCATCTTCGTCCTGACGTCCATGACGACCTCCTCGTTGCACTCAATGTCGGTATCTTCCTCGTTGAGTTCGGTTTCAGGCATTTCCTGCACAATTCTTGCAGATGGCTGAACACCGGAGTCCTGCTTTTTTGCAGCTGCAAGCTCCGGTGCTACAACCTGTCATGCACTTACATTGTATCATGTGCAGGAACTTTTCTGGAGCTGCATCTGTGGTCGTTGTTATGGGTATCAACCCTCGTTTTGTGAGAGTCCAGCCCCAAACAGAAGGTGACTTTTTGTTGCCCAGCCACGTCTGCACTTGTAAATAAGTTCTAAAAGAATGGTACCGGGCAGCGTCTCGTGTAGGGGGCAATCGGGCAAGGTGAAATCTGGATTTTGCCACAGAGTTCGAGAATATTCGGTAGCGAAGATCGTCCACAGTGTCTGTGTCTATGTTTCCACCGTACAGTGCCACGAGAAATTTTTCTCCTGCTACCGAAATTTGGCGTGGTGTTGCATCTTCATCTTTGAAAACACTAACAATGTCAGACAGAAAATAATTTTTCTCATGAATAGAGAGGACTTTCTTCTTTCCCACTCCAAAAGGGTTCGATGAAGTGTCACACCCGCTAACTGCATGGAGGGAAAGAATATCCTGAGTATTGTATTTGCAAGATGATGACGAATACAAAGTACTAGGAGCATTACCTCTCCCACTCTTTTGGAAATACATGTTCTTTAGAGATGAGCCCAACGCAGTCAGCAATACTAACAGATCTACGTCTTCACCTATAATAGTAACACTATCGAAGTCAGAAGCTTTAGATATCGCAGTTTTCACTATCATGACATCAGCGAATAAAAAAAAAACAGTTTTTCGCTCTTATCTCAGGAACCGTTCCAGCTACGGAGCTGAGTCTTTGTACACACTTCATCATTAATAATGACTACTTCTAAAGCTCTTGATCAATTTCCTTGGACATGTCAGTGGCGGAGAGTTCCCTACTATTTTTTTTTTCAATTATAAGTTGAATATTTTTGGAAAAAAAAATATTGTAGGATTTTGTATGTTTCCATTCATAAATCGCCTTTTTCTCGAAAACTGTTCTCCTCAGAGCATTGAAGCAAGAGGACCTTTTATGTGTGAAAGACGTTGGCGCTTCAGAATGTGCTTTGAAAATTACAGTTTCTCTAGTGGAATGAAAGTTAGGGGGGTTACACCCTTGAAGACGTTGAACTCTCCGCCACTGAGATGTCCAAGGAAAATGATCAAGAGCCTTAGAAGTAGACAATATCAATGATGAAGTGTGTACAAAGGCTCCTCTCGGTTCCTGAGATAAGAGCAAAAAACTGAATTTTTTCATTTTTTTACGCCCTGTATCTTGAAAACGGAAGCCCGGAGAAAAATTTCGTAAAGGAAAAACATTCCTCTTTTTTCATGAGGAATCTACAGTTTTTCGTTGTTTCACTTATTTATTAACACCCTGTATACCCATTTGAAAATGATGGAAGATGAAATATACAAGTGAAGAACCTGAATTTCTAGCAGTTTCTCGATATTGTGAGAGTTTGAAGCGCTATATCTCGGTACGTACTTGGTGAAAACAATGAGTGATAGATGATAATTGTAGGAAATTCAATCCTCTTTAAGTTCTGTAACTTCGTGTTTTCCGCTTGGACGCGTTGTTTAGGAGTTATAAGCAAAATATTGAAAAAAGTCCGAAAATTTACCAGTTTTTCGGATGCCCTGAAGTTAGCACAGGGTCCTCGAATTGGAAAACTTGGATTCTACACCACAGACTTGCCACATCCATCATTTATGAAAAGATCGTTAACTTCGGACCTTTTTCCAGGTAACCCCACTGTGAAGTACAGGGTGACTGGACTATATAGTGCGCGTGCCTCACATAGTTTTGCTACTGGGGCAGCGCGGCATATATTCTGTGCCTCACCGCGGACTGTTATATTTTCTGGTGTGGTATCGTAGAGATGCCTCGCTGCTGTACAAATCAAATTGGAGCTTGAAGAGTATGGCCTGACAAACCATGCTATGATCTTGGCCTGTGATTGTTTTGGTAGGTACTTCAATATGAATGAAGAAAGCATTTCATTTTTGCATTTTTTTATTATTCAAAAACATTACAAACAACGGGATATACTGCACCTCATGAGATAGAAAAATAATGAACTGATATGTTTGCAACTGAACTGAACATCGTGTGAGCAGAGAGAGAACATGGGTATTGTAGTTTTTCTTGAAAGTTTGAAAATATAGATTTTCCAGTAGGTACTTATTCATTTTTTGTTCGATTTATGATCCAGAAAAAAATATTGTACACAATAATGTTTTTCACATACAGAACACTGCCATTTTAAACGAACAGTTTTATTTAGAGCAACTTCTCTTCCTTCTGCATTCTTCAAATTACGATAGCATAGCTAGCTCCTCCTCATCCATTTCGATATCAGTACTAGGTGCAGATGAAATACCTACCTGTAATAGGCTTAGGCACAGCTTTTCACGGAATTCTGTGATTGGTATGTTATCCTGCGGACTTGTTTATAAACAATGTGAGCATTCACAATAGTGGACCCTAATAATAACTCAATGGCAAGTTTTCTATACAATTTTGGTGTTCTGCGCAAGCAATGCGAGTACCTATGCTTTTATTTGATCAGCTAAGTCAATATAACCTTTGACTTGATGGTAGTCAAGAATAACAGCTGGTTTTTCGATTTCACCTCCTCTTAGTCTCACTTTCTTCTGATCGTCCTTGTGAAATGTACTCAACATGAGAACATCTCTTTCAACACGCCATTTCAAAACACCCGGTTTCACTTTCTTTCGCGTCTAAACACGTCTGAGCCTGCAAATTTTATGCGACACAACATGTATGTCGTATGGCCCTATACCATATTATAATCCCCACAGGCCGCGCGGCACACAAGGCATGCCTCAGACAGAAAGGCCTTTATAAAAAAAATTGAATCACAAATAGACAAAATTCGTGGAGACATATAAGGTGATGCTCAATTATGTCAAAACCGATAAAAACAAATTTGGTCATCTGGGACCCGATTTTTTTCCTTGCATGACGGCGCTCAACTGGTTGAGATTTATTAGTTGAAGGTAAAAACATTCCAATTGCATTTATTTTCATTTTGATTTCGTGTATCCCTAATGTGAATCATTGTTTCTACTGCTATACAAAAGTAATATTTTTGAATTGTTAGTCCATATAGACAATCCGCAACAGAATGATCTTTGAAACACTTCAAATTCTTAGCATTTTCAAGAAAGGTAGGTATACATCAATAAATAACTCATGTGGCGGAAAACTATGATATAAGATCTGACTATGAGAAGTTTCTGACTAACGTTAGTAGGGCCATCGAGCAATAAAATCAGAACGCCAACGTACTATAAGGAAGATTTAATTGCGTCTCAACACCAACAAAGCTTGTGGCTCCGACGGAATCCCACCGATTGTTCTCAAGAAATGTGCTCCCGAACTAACACGTGTTCTCTGCAAGTTGTTCAACTACTCTTACAAGATGGGGATATTCCCGTCCAACTGGAAAATTTCAATAGTACTACCAGTTCCTAAAAAAGGCAAAAACACCCTACCTAGCAACTACAGACCGATCGCACTGCTATCTATTATTTCAAAGATTATAGAGAAAGCTATCAACATCGAGCTCATGAAATACCTGGAACATTCAGGTATTATCAACGATAGGCAATATGGCTTTCGTCATCAGAGATCAACTGGTGACCTGCGCGCTTTCGTCTCACATATATGGCAGCAATCTATTGAAAAATATGGTGAAACCTTAGCCGTGGCACTTGATATCTCCAAAGCATTCGATCGAGTCTGGCACCACGGACTCCTCGCCAAGCTTCCATCTTATGGCTTGCCTCCCCAGCTATGTTCTCTGCTAGCTAGTTTTCTCTCAAACAGGTCACTCCATGTAGTGGTCGACGAAGTTTCATCTGACTCTCTTACAATAAATGCTGGTGTTCCGCAAGGATCCATTCTAGCACCAACACTATTTCTACTCCATATCAACGATTTGTTGGAAGCAACATCATGTCCAGTACACAGCTTCGAGGATGATAGTACCTTCCATACCGCCTTCTCTTCCAGGGCTCCAATACCAGCCAGGCAAATCAGAAACGAACGAGGAAGAAATGTTGACAACATAAATATGGACTTGGCAACAATTCTTGAATGGTAGATTTCAATGCAAATAAAATACAAGCATACCTTTTCTCTAGAAAAGCCGATCTCACTGTGCCCAACATAAGCCTGTCAGGAGTAACCATACCTTTGCTTGGTATTACTATCAGCAATAAC